ACTTGTTGGATCGCATAACCTCGCAAGGCGAATAAGCTTCAATTTTTTTTACATATTAAACAGCGAACCGCTTGCTTCAAGACCAACCAACGCCCATTTCAAGACAGAAAATTACGGTTAATGATTCAATACTACTGCAGTCTAATACACAAATGATTGTGAGTTGCCTACTAATGTCATTATATAGTAATTATGCAGGTGTACACCGTTCTTGTCCACCAATAATATCATTGATGTATAAATGTCACTGAATCCATACACACCGCAGCTCCCACATCTAGTTGCCGTTATTTGTTCTATGTATTTATAGCTAATTTAATTTAAATGCAAAAGACACCCACACACACACACCCAGACATACAGGGACGTGTTAATGAAGCAGAGAATTTCTGTTAATCTGACAGTTGTTATAATTACATACCGATTTCGAGGGAATTTACACAAGGGCCGTATACAACATTTAATTGTTGACGCACAGTGACCTATGTCACGTATATATGTGCATTTTTTGTAATATCAGTGCACAGGCATATGTATATACACCTCTGATAGCGTATTAAATACGATTTCGCTTGGCTTGATTAAATGTCTCACTCAAAAGTTCATAAATTCACTTGTTTTGTTGGTTCAACGTGAAGCTCGAAGTATTAGTAACCGAAATTTACCGCATTTAATTCCTTGGGTATATACATAAGTAGCCAACCATCTCCAACTCAATCCCCATGAGACTACTCAGGTTATACTTTTGCTCATTGCGCTTTCTTCCGGAGGTTCATAAATATCTTATTATAATATCTGAAATATATTCATATATTTCGTGATAACCATCAGGAATATGACCACAATGCATTACTAGTCTTCTGATTTTTAACATCAGATTATACAAAGTGCGTTCCAAAGTAAACAGAACATAAAAAAAAGACAGAAAAAATGGTTTTGTCGGCAAAATCAATTAATTTTATTCAAAATAAACTCCTTCTGCTTTAATACAACAAGTCGGACGAGCATTTTAGCTCGTTGCCCGGCATGGTCGCCAGTATGCCGGGGCAAGCCTTTTGAATGGCCTCCACGTCTGCATAATGCATTCCTTTCATCGGCAAATGCATTTTTCCGAAAAGGTTGAAGTCCCACGGTGCCATATCTAGTGTTTGATTGTATATAATCGGCCACAAGCGTCGATCGATGAGTTGGCGCATGATCGTGCAACAAACGCCAACTTCCAACTTCGCGATATTCGGGTCGAACACGTCGAATTCGCCACACCAAACGCTTCAAATCTCCAAGGTAGCATACCACATTAACGTTTTGGTCAGTTGGAACAAATTCTTTGTTGACAATAACCTTGGAATCATAAAAACAAATTAGCGTTGTCTTCTCTTTTCACTTCTCCAGGCGCGATTTTTTGGGTTTCCTTCCATTCCTTCCATTCAGCACTCTGGCGTCTCGTTTCGGGATAATATTGAAAACACCATCACCACCATAGGCAATCATCACCATAAACTTGCTCGTTTCGGTAAAAGTTTTACCAATTTTAAATGTTGGCTCTTTGTTCAAAGCTCATTTTCGCGCCGATGACAAAAAAATACTGACACTGAAAACGCAATAACTTCACTTCCAATAGATGAAATGTAATGAAATGTTTACTGGAAGTCGATAAAGGCTAGCAGATTCTAACGCACGAGTCGACATATAGATGGAGCTGGCGATGTTAGAGGACAATCGTTAATATTATGTCTCTATGTCACTAAAAAAATATTCTTCAGGTTCCTCTTTAAAATGGTTTTATACGGAATATCTTCATTCCTGTAACTCCTTTTTTAAATTTTGAAAAAAAAAAAGAAAAAGTTACTGAGAGCCTGGTCAGGACTGACGGGGGAAGGCAAATTTCTGTAAAGCCAGTAGTTTTCAAGGCTAGTAATCAATTAATAATATTCCCCCGCCAACACAGAAAATGGTAGCCATGACGTCAAATTTTCTATTTTGAATTTTTTTTGTGGATTTTTCCCTTTTTTATTCACTACATCGAATCCGGTTTGGAATGGGAATCATACTGACGAGTCCAAATTTCATCAGCTGTTATAATGGGGTTGCAAATTGCATCCAAATCATCCTGAACCGACTTCAAACAACTTTACAACTCTCCAATCGTCGCTACTTGTCCGGCGGGTTGAGAATTCGTCATACCCAGCACGTTCTTGTACTCAAATGTTCATGCGAAGTTGCTCCAGTTCATTCTTTGCCAATCTCTTATCCTTATGCTTCAATTGAATTTAATTCTTCGTTCAGCCAGAATAAATTTTAAGATTTTCTTTAGTCACGACCATCACTGGGCGCTCCGTACGGAGATCATTTTCACAGGTCTCTGTTCCTTGATTTGAACAGCCGAGCCCATTTTTTCACAAATCACCAATTATATACATATATTATATATGAAAGAGTAGAGTACTGAAGAACCGATGGCATCTCTTTCAGAATTTCTTTCTGCGTATTTCGCTTTTTTGCGAGAAATTCCAGTTTTCGTTGACGTAGTGCTGTTTGTTGCTTGCACTAGAAATGATATGTTAATGAACCTAATAAAACCAAGTTATATTATTTTTACTAATAATGAGTTCCGCAATTACTATTATCAGTAACGAGATAATGCGTCATCTCTAACTACCTTAGGCCGCCTTATTATCAGTCGTCTCTCGTCTTGTGCTTCCGAAAGTAACTTCACATCCACTCACTACTCTTTGAACTTTAGCTTCCCTTATAGGTACAGTCAGAAGATATTATAAATTGTTTTCTAGTATTTTTCTAGTATTTTTATGTAGTAGTAGGTCTTTTCAGCAAGGTGTTGATTCCGCTTTCCTCTCCGGCATATAGAGAACACACAAGTAGGCTCCGATGGATTGGTTTCCGTCTGCTCTTGGTTTTGCGCATGGCGAAAGAGCACTTAAAGGTTCGCCAATTAAGGTAACGGATGGTGTTTTTAGCATCCTCTGTGTCTTTACAAACCAAGCGTTGGAATCAGTGGGAAAACTGATGGCTGTTTAACTGGAAAATACCTCTCAAACTTATTTTAAGGATTATAAAATATAACAATAAATGGATAATAATTGTAATAATAAATACATTTAGTTAGCATCTTTTGATCGTTTTCGGGTGAGGCCTTTTTAGCTATTCTATCCCATGCTGGCTGCGGGAGCCCATTGAGCGAATGGGGCTTCAATATTTTATATCGCTTTGGAACCACTTACGCGATTATCAGCTGAGCTCCTCCATCATTTTATATTTGGCGGGACTTACAGTTAATTTGAAGCCACTTGCGAGCATTTCTCTTCGGAGAAATTAACTTTGGTTGTTGGACGCATCAGGACTCGGCACTTCGAAACGCAATACCAACCACTCGGCTATTGCAGCCGCAAGTTGTAATCATGACATACAGAAAACAAAGTAGTCCCACTAAAAAATTTTGTTTCAAAAATATGAACCATCTGACACCAGGTGGAGTTACCAGGACAACCTTATTCAACTTTTTTCATTTAATTAATTCGCTTCAGTATAAAGGTTGTCAAAATGTTTGTTTAGGGCTTGTATGTTTGTTTACATTTTGATTTTTTGTTATTTTTATTTTTTGAATTTCTAATTGTGTAGCTGAAATCTTTCAAATAAGATTTGTGACTGCTTCAAATAGAAGAATGTGTTCCGATTTTGATTTGAGTTGAATTGAAGTAGGTAATAATCAGTGACGAACGCACTTAAAACAAAATATAGCGATTTGAAACCGTTATTTTAAGGCTTTTACCTTCGCTTTCCCAAATCTTCAAATAATTTCGTTTTCATTATAAAAGCAAAGAGATTGCTCGTTTTCGCTGAAGCTAGCTCAGCATGACAGACAAAGAGGTGTTGGTGTTCTATAGAATCTTCTTCTGTGGCAAAAATCATTATAGTGAGAGCCTATTCTTCTATGAAGCCTTAGCTTTCTGGTCACGTTACACGTGATCTCATTCTGCCATCTAGTGTTTGCATTTTTTAAACAGGCAAGTCTTTGCATATTCTTTGCCATGACAAAGGTAAACCTGTATCTTGCATATGCTTTATTTTGGATAGAAGGGCTCCTTCTCTCACTAGTTCGTCTGCCATGCAATTGCTTAGAGGATCCGGGCACCCAAACTATGGCAGTGTTGCATTTAGCTGAGATTTTTTTCAGATGGCTTCCACATTTTATAACCACTTTAGATGTGGTACTGTAACACTGTAGAGAGCTGATGATATATTGTAGCTTGACTATCGGAATCTATAGTAACTGATTTTCCTGCTATCTCATTATTGGGAGCAGCTTTTGAATTGAGATTTGAGCCGCCTGTAAAGCTGTGTATGGTATCTTGATCGACGGCGTTTTTTTCACCAATTCACTACTGTTTGGGATTCTTGTCGAAGTAGTCCGGAAGGTTTTGTATGTACTTAGAAAGGAGTGTTCGATTCCTAGTTTTACAATGAATGAAGGATCTAAGTCTATCTTGTTCTGCGTTTGCCAAAGAAATTTGGAAAATGGGTTTAGTATGCATATATCACTAATATTGAATAAATAATAATTACAGGGAATTATATAATGTACAACTGTCTGCACAGCGTTACAGAACTTAAAGGTGTGCTGTAGGTCTAGTAATCTCTTATGATCATTGCAATTATAGGACTATCTCCCATGTATATTTCGTTCAATGTGACTGAGTCTTATAGACATTGCCAAAGAAGTGCATTTATTAATACTTGTATTTGTTCTCCTGCTCTCACCTTTTGAATTCGCCGCATCACTACTTGTTCAAACTTTAACTATTGAATCATGGACTGCAATGAGATTTACTTATTGTAAATCGAAAAATTGTAAAGAAAGTATAGAAAAAAAAAATCAAGAACATACCTCGCCATCTAAGTACAAACCTCTTAAGTTCAGTATATACATATTTTGTTTCCATTAACTTATTGTTTAATATTTTTTCCCTCCTTTTTTTTTGCAGATGAACGCCAGGACATACAAAAGAAGACATTCACAAAATGGATTAACTCACATTTGCTAAAGACCCAGTGTACACCAGTGATCGACTTGTTTGAGGATTTACGCGATGGACATCGCTTGTTGGCGTTGCTTAGTGTGCTCACTCAATCACAGTTGGTAAGTGTAGTTTTCAATGCTTTACGAGTTTCCGTATTGTTCACATACGAGTATATGTACATACATACATATGTAGGTATTAAATACATGAAAACTTACTTCGAGCGGAGAGTAATTGGAGAGTAAAATTTAGTCATTATACCAGTCATAACCATATCATTTTTATGTTATTTCATTTAAGAATTAAATAATAATTCTTATATTTGTAAAATTGGTTGAGAGCTACATATTTATATCATCAAGTTGTCCGATTTTGAAGTTTCTCAGTGTCAATGTTTTTTTTTTTCAATAAATGAAGGAACCCACAGTTTATTGCGAAAAAGTGCTTACAGATATATTATTCAAAGTATTGTCCTTCGCTAGCGACAAATTTCTCCCATCTTTCCGGCAATTTTCGGATCCCGGCTCGAAAAAAGGAGTCCTCTTTTGACGCTATCCATGAAGCAATCCATTTTTCCAATTCTTCGAAGGATTGAAAATGTTGATCTGCCAGGCCGTGTGCCATCGAACGGAATAGGTGGAAGTTAGAAGGGGCGACATCTGGGGAATACGGCGGGTGGGGTAAGACTTCCCATTTCATTATTTACCACTTTTGCGTGAGGCCGAGTATTCTCGTGTTGGAGGATAACTTTGTCATGTCGATCTTGATATTGTGGCCGCTTTTCTTTTAGCGCGCGACTAAGGCGCATCAGTTGCGTTCGGTAGCGATCTCCTGTGATGGTTTCACCCGGTTTTAAGAGCTCGTAGTAAATCACACCGAGATGATTCTCTTCCACCACCATGTTTGTCTTCGACATCGAAATCACCATTTGTAAAACGTTGAAACCACTCCCGACACGTTCTTTTCTTCATTTCTGAGCGCATTGGATGCGCTTCAGCTGCATTTTTTTTTCGAATTCTGACAGAAAAGTAAAACTTCCCGCAAATGGCGAGAATTAAGTACATAAACGGACATTTTCGAGCGTGAACAATACGAAAACAAGAACATCTGTCACTAAAACGGCGATGACAATTCGTTAGGCACTGTCCACACTCACTTTAAAGGCATTATCATCTAAGTATTTCAACCAGCCTCAGCCGGTACAGCTACCTATCGGAAAACGGCGGAAGCAAAGTTGTACACCTGATAATCCGCCTGCAAACGGCAGATGGTTGTTTTACGAGGGGCGACCGTAATTGGAAAATTTAAATTAATTTTTTATTTTACATAAAATTTCAATAGCTTTTCTTGGATGTTAGGACGATGCCAGAATTTCAACCGGAGTCTTACGAATAGCCACACGCAATGTTAACCACTTGGCTACTTTGGCCGCTGTGCCAAATACATACAAACTTTGGACCAAAGTTAATTGATCAATTCACCTTCATGAAAGGCTCTTTATTAAGATTACAGTATCATACATTTAAAATATTACCCTTTTCTTGGAGACCACGAATTTGTTGTTCTTCAGTCGAGTAATTGCTATTCTGACTTCAGTTAGTGGAGCGTCTCTTTCATTGCCTTCAACTGAGGAATCGGATACGCCATCTCAAAGCACTTTCACTGCCATTCAGATTGTCTGACAGAATAAATCCCACCATAAATTCAGTTAAGTCTGGGCATCAATTACTTTATCTCCACTTTGGGTCCTATATACGTATGCGCCTTCCATAAAACCTGCCATATGTGACCTCATTTGTTCATTAAGTTTTCGAGAACTACTACTGTCGTCCAGCTTTTCTTCACTTCCCAGTTGTCTTATAAAGAGTTGCTGATGAGTACTGCCGGAGGACTGGAGTGCAAGTCAAGTAAAAACTATTTGCCTACGTGTTGCAATTGCAGCTTCACGACGTCGAATTTTCGTTTTGTTTTCGAACGAATTACAAGTTAGTGATCCGAGCTTATGTTAAATGCTCAGAGCATGCGCACGTCTAGAATACTGACACAGAGTCATCGATTTCAGTTTGGAAGAGCAATGTCGCTTGCTGAATTTTTTTGTACATGAAACCAATACTGCAGGCCAGCCTACTTCGGATCCCGATTAAATTAATCCACCTCAATTCATTTGGGAAAGTTTCATCATAAGTTCGTCGTTGAACTCTCCAAGAGTTGCGCTTTTAGATAAATACCTTCTTCGGCCATGTAGGAGTTAATGTCGACAAACACATCTTTGACATCATGTCGGGGGCAGAGCTAGTTGGAGTCTTCTGTGTGCTCATAAAAGGCATCTTTGGGCACATCTTATGTGCAAATCAGCGGTGTATGACAACACCCAGCGACTGAGTGGCTCATATTAAGAATTCGGCTCCAAAATTGTGCTCCTTTATGTGGCCTTAGTGTATGCTAGTACGTTTCCATCTTTTTTCCATCCATATTGTTTGAACGCTTGAAATTTTGCATTAGGAGCTGGTTTTTTTGATGGCGAGTCCTGCCTTAAGGCCGACGTATCTGCTTGTGAATGAATAATGTCCAAGGAAATACAACATAATATTTTAAATAAAAATCGTCTTGCAGAACATCTGATTTCTCTTACACAAAAATAAATTCCTAATTGAAATTTATTTCCTTAAATGTCAAGTCCAAATTTTCATCTTGCATTTCTAATTAAATAATCACCAATCATCACTCCATTCCCTAAGCATTAACAAATTGAGAAAAGTTCCTGAGTGTGCAAAATACAAATTAAAATTTACTTTTCCCGACCGGATTGTTTAATAGAAAAGGATATTAAAAATTTACTTACTGTACAGTGACGCACTAAATAAAAGCAGCATGACAAATCTTGCGCCATTAATGGCAGAGTAAAGCTTACGATTTTCCTTCGAATACTCATTCACATAGAGTTCAGTTCCAATTTTGGGAGGGGTCTACCAGAGAGACTGCAATAAAAAACATATTTCAAATAGTTTCTTTTATTGGATCTACGATTTTACAAACATTACAGACTAAATACATACACCAGCTAGTGCCAAAAATTGAATACTTGAAACTATTGATGTATTGAAAATATACTAATTATGAATAGAAAGGTTCAAGATATGAAAAAAACGAGATCTTGAATGCGACAGTAAGATCAAGACTGCTTGAGATACTGTTAAATTATTTATACGAGTAACATTAAACCTAATTTGCTCAAGCTGTTCTGGGCAGTCCACTAAGCCGTTGACTGGATAAAACGGCGATGAGCGAGTGATTTGAGATCGGCAAAAATAAGAATGTTGGAGATCAGCGAAATGAAGCAGAGCCAGAGCTAAGTGAATAGATTTACATTGGAGGTTTTCAGGTCTGGAGGAAAGTGTAGACTAAACTGGGTTCCAAATGAATTCAGCATACTCCAACTTCGAAAGAAATAATGAATTATATGAAATTTTGCGTGTGTAGGAATCTCTGAAATCACCACCATATTGCAGTGAGAGAGCAAAGAGTTTGAATATTTAAAGCAAGCTGAAAATTAATTTTTAAAAAGAAGAAATAATGAATAGCCAAGTGTGGTACCTTGACGTAAGATCTCGTATTTTCTACTTCAGCAAGAGAGAGTTAATCGGGGGAACGTGATCATTGCCAAGATAGAAAAGAAGAGTACATTGAGGAGGGAAGCAAGACGCGACTACAAACAAAAGGAAAAGAGGCCGAGATGCGTGTGTATGAAGAGCTTGGAAAGCTGGCCTACAAGGGTAATGCACAAAAATTCTACGAGAAGATACGACGACTTACAGAAGATTCCAAGACCGGAACAGACTCTTGTTGTATACAAAGAGGTGATCTAGCAACCGATGCCGCCCGGAGTATATGGAATTTATGGAGAACACACTTCTCCAACCTGCTCTGCTGGTAGTAAAAATGGAACACCCGGAGATGGTGAACCTGAAACCCCAATGGATAACGATGGAAAAGCGGTTCCATTACCTAACCATGAAGAAGTTTGAATAGCGCGCATGAGAGCTAACTTAAGCAGCACTAAAAGCTCCGTCAGAATCGGGAAGGACCTTTCCGAGCCGTTCGTTACCAAATTAGGTTTCAGACAGGGTGATTCCTTATCATGTGACTTCTTTTATTTATTGCTGGAGAAAACACTCTAGCTTTCGTAATAAAATACTATGCGGAACAGTATCGAAGGCTTTGGCACACACAACATCAACCAACTTTGAAGACTGGGCTTCAATGACGAGAAAGACAGGCTAGATTTGTGACAGTAGAACGACCGCTAACAAATCTATGCTGGTGCTGGCTAATGGAGCCTTTAACGGAAAACAATATATATTCTTGATTACTTTCTCACTTACTTAAACAACGTGGAGATCGAAGCATTTTTCCAGCGATTGATGAAAACGCCAGACGAGAGAAGGATTAAACATATATTTTAAGGGGCGAAATAAGAAGCACTGAAATTTTTAAATACATAAAAAGGAAGCCCATCCAAGTCATTATTTAAAGGTATCTGCAACTAGCAAGTCCTTTCAAAACATAAAACGAAAAAAAATTAGATAAAATTAAATAAAATAATTAAGTTTATATAATACGAAATAAATCAAACGAAAAAAAAAATAAATAAATCAAATTAATATAAAATGAAAAATATATTATAAAATAAAAAATTATATAAAATCAAATATAATAAATAAAAATAATATTAAATGAAAAAATAAATAAAATAAAATGAGAAAAATTGTATAAAATATCACAAAATAAATTAGCAAAAAAAAAATAAACAAATATAAAATAAATTAATTAATGTAAATTTAAATTAAATTAAATTAAATTAAATTAAATGTAAGGAAATAAAATAATTTAGATTCAAAGAAAAAAAATAAATTAATTAAAATAATATCATCCAAAAAAATAAATGCAATTAAATTAAATTAAACTAAGTTAGAGCTATTTAAATTAAAAAAAAAAAATAAAATATAATAAAGTAAACTGAAATTAATTTGAAACTAAATTAAATAAAATAAAATGGAATAAAATAAAAAAAATAATATTTATAAAACAAAGAATTACTAAATAAAATAGAATTTCAAAAATTATATAAATTCAAATGAAGAAAAGACAAATTTCCGAAATCTTCAGATGATTACAAGCGGCAGCGGTAAGATTCCCGTCATAATAAGATTTTAGAAATTCAACTAAGAGATTTGCAGTATCCAACTCGTCTCACAGTGGGACATGCCTCTAGATGTGGGAACAACCTATTTTGAAGCGAATACAAATCCAAAAGGCGTCTGGACTCCTTTATATCTCTTCCTCAAATCTATAAATATATTGCGAGTAAAGAAATTTATTGAGTCCATCGAGACTCAGGAAAATACGTGCCAGGTCGTAATTCTAATTGTAAATAGAAAAAATTTTTTATTTATAATGGAGGTACCTGAATTTTTTCAAAATATTGTAAATTTTTGCTTTTGATTTCTGGAGATCGCGCCAAGTCCGTTACTTGCTGTAATATCTGATTTCACATTTTATTTGTAAAATGTCTGCCGTCTGTCTTCTTGTAAAGTTGGTTTGGTCTTAATTATAAATTTTTTTAATCCCTGAAAAATATTTAAATTTTCTCAAACATTAAACAGATTCACTCAACCACTTCATTAACATTTTTTTCCTGAATGGAAATAGGAGTTTGTACATAAAGTGAAATGGTTTTTTCCTAAATTTCGTAACCCATTATTAGAGCCAATGTCTTTTGCGCCACTGTAAGTAGAGAAACTGAATGCAGCAGATATCATCTACTGCAGTTAAGGGTTTTGTAAAAGTGTGTGCTTATTAAAGATATATATTTACATATACACACACACATACTATTTATAAATGTGCTTGTGTTACCGACATGCATTTCAGTTATCCTACTGAGTTTGCGAAAAGGATGTATGTGAATCGCATAAGAGATAATTGGTTGGAGAAAATGGTGTGGGGAAAGTGTTGAAGGAAATGTATCAAATCACATTTATGTATATGTGAGTATATTACAAAGTCAAGGGTAAGTATATGCAAATTATAGGTAAATAATGTCATGGAATAAGTTCCTACATATACTCGTATACCAATGCGTAGATGAAGGTGGTAATAGGTAAGAAGAGAAATTTTGTTATGTAAGTGAATGTTTGACGCATTCGTACCTTTCAGAAGCGATGAAGTGTATGTGTTTTCGTTTCAAGAGGAAAGATGAAAAGATCACACACATACATACATATATATATACATATATGCATGTCTATTAGTGCAAAGTAATTTCTATAAATTTTAAACAATTTTACCACAAGCGCAAATTATTGCTTTTAGTGTATTTAACTTGTTCGTCATACGGTTGTTTTTGGAAGAGTGTGAGATAAAAGGTAGTGATCCAAACAGCCGAATGGAATTGTAATTCGTTCGAAACGTGTTTATTCACAAGACGTCTAGTGTTAATCAGTAGATATGGCGTCTAATTTTACTGCAAGCTTGCGTTCTACAGCTAAATAAGATGTGAAAAAAATTAATCAATCTGTGATGTTTTAAAAAAAAGTTTGATCGAAAATTAACTTTAAGGTTCTGACTATTTTAATTTATTTAATTTCATGTTGTTTTATTTTATCTCAATTTTGATATTAAATTCATTCAATTTAAATTAATTTTATTACTTAAATATTTTTTAAAAAATTAATCTATTTATTTTGCTTAATTTTATTTTATTTTATTAGTTTATAATAAATAATTATATTTATTTTTTAATTATTAATATTTTGTTTTGATTATTTATTTATTATCATTGAATTTAAGTTTATAAGTTTTTTATTTTTATTTTTTTAAATTCATTTTATTTTGTTTACTTTTAGTTTAAGTTATTAACTTTATTTTAATTTAATTTATCTTTTTTATATTATTTTATTTCATTTGATTTATTTTTGGTTTAAGTTATTAATTTGATTTTTTTTATTTAATTTTTTTAAATTTAAATTATATTTAGCTGAACTTAATACATATAAATATTGCATTTTTTCATGTTATATTATAATTTTTTTTTTAATTTATTATTAAAAGAGTTGATTAATATTATTTTATTTAGTTTTATTTAATTTTATATAATTTAATTTGGTTTAATTTATTTTTATTTAATGTAATATTATTTTAATTTAAGATTAAATTAATAACTTTATTTTGATATAATATATTTTATTTATAATATTTCATTCCTTTGAAATCAATTTCAGTTAGCTTAATTTAATTTCATTTTAATTTCACTTATCTTATTTTATTTAATTTTGCTTATTTTTAGTTTAAATTATTAACTTCATTTTAATGTAATTTATCTTTTTTATATTATTTTATTTTATTTGATTTTGTTTTTGGGTTAGTTGTTAATTTAATCTTATTTTGCCAAAATTAATTTATTTTAGCTTAAACTATATAACTATATATAACTATTTTTTCATGTTATTTTAATTTTTTTTTCTTTATTTATAATAAATTTTTTTAATTTATTTTATTTAGTTTTATTTAATTTTATATAATTTAATTTGATTTAATTTATTTTTACTAAATCTAATTTTATTTTAATTTTACTTTAAATTATTAATTTTATTTTGATTTAATATATGTTATTTATATTATTTCCTTCCATTAAAATCAATTTCAGTCAGTTTAATTTAATTTCGTTTTAATTTAACTTATTTATTTTTATTTAATTTTGTTTATTTTTAGTTTAAATTAATAATTTCATTTAATTAAATGTTTTTTTTTGTTTTTAATTTAATTTAATTTAGTTAACTTAATACAACTTTTTATATTATTACATTATATTTAATTAATTTTTTATTTCAAACTTATTATTAACTTCAAATATTATTTTAAATATTATTTTATTTATGTATTTTTTTAAATTTATTTTAATTAAATTATTTATTTTTGGTCTAATTTTATATTAATCAATTTTTTTTTTGATTTTATGTAACTTTCGAAATTCAATTTTATCTAGTACTATTTTATTTTGAATAATAATGTGCTTTATTTAATTTAATTTTTTTATTTTTGTTTAATTTTATTATATTTAGTTTAATTAAATTTAATTTATTTTTTTTAATTTTAATTTTAATTTTTGTTATATTATTTTTTACATTATTTTATTTTCATTTATTTTATTTTATTTTATTTTATTTTATTTTATTTTATTTTATATTATTTTATTTTATTTTATTTTATTTTATTTTATTTTATTTTATTGTATTTCATTCAATTTAATTTAATTTCATTTTAATATGTTATATTTTATTTTAATTAATTTATTTTATTTTATTAAAGTTATTTGAATTTATTTTCATATTATATATTTTCTTATGTATAAATTAAATTGATTTAATTGAGCAAAACCTAATTTCATTTAATTCGAATATACCTTATTTCATTAATTTAATGTAATACAAGGTTTATTTTTTTATTTTATGCATTTGATTTTACGTTATTTTACACTGTTTTATATCATTTGATTTCTCCTTTATTTAATATTATTTAAATTTATTACGTTATGTAATTTTTTATTTTATAATATATTCTTTTATTTTATATTATTTTATTTAATTTGATTTATTTTTCGTTAAATTTTACGTATTATATAAATTTAACTTATTAGTTTGATTTTATCTCATTTTATTTCGTTTTGTGTTATTTAATTTTATTTCATATTAAAATTTTGGTTTTTATTATATTCCATTTTCGTAATATTGGCCCCACTGAATCTGGCTCTCTCTTACTTATTGTGGTTTCCTGCATTTCTCAATGGATTCGTAATAAAATATTTGTCATACTTATCTTCTTTAATTGAAACAAGCTTTAATCAAGTATCCTTCATCCTTCTCATCTCATTTCCCACACAGAAACCGGAAAGGGGTCGCATGCGCGTACATCACATCAACAATATTAACAAAGTGATCCAGGTGATACAGGAGCATGGCGTTAAGTTGGTGAATATTTCCAGTGATGACATAGTCGCTGGTAATCCGAAATTGACGCTTGGCTTGATTTGGCTCATTGCACTCGAGTTCAACGGTCAAAATCTAGTCAAGAGTCAGTCGAGTAATGGCGTTGAGAAATCGTTACTCGCATGGGCGCGTCAATACACCGAACCGTATGGCCTGCAGCTGCATGATTTCTCCACCAGTTGGTCGGACGGACGTGCCTTTCTCATCATACTCAATGCACATCTTGAGGATATCGATTTGAGTGCGGCACTAACAAAACATCCCTTGGCACGTCTCAAGACCGCATTTGATTTGGCACACAAATACTTTAAGATAGAGAAACTACTCGATCCCGAGGATGTCCACACACTTAAGCCAGACAACAAATCAATACAAATGTATGTGATGTGCCTGTATCACGCCATGGAGTCGCGTCGAAGTCGCGAGCGTAGTGATAGCGTGGGTGAGGCGGTGTTGTTCGATGAGAAGGCGCAAGAAGCGCTCCCTCCACCATCATCCCAATCAATGCGTCCAAGCACCAATATCACTGATCTCGATGAGGTGCCCTTGGACAGTGCCGAAGAGGTGTTCTCCGATATGAGCAGCACGCCGGTTAGCAGTTCCGATCCAGTGAAATCCGCTAAGTACAGCAGCGATACAATGCACAGCATAATGGATATTGGCATGGACGAGAGTAAGCCAGTGGATTATTTGCGCATGGGACAAGATAAGTCACGACCCATGAGCACTGCGACAAATGCATCCATTGAAATTACTAGCTATCAGGCGGCTTTAGAGGCGGTGCTTACGCTGCTGCTGGAAGATGAGCAGATACTTTCACGCGAACTGCCCGAACCCATCGACTTTCAAAGTGCCAAAATACAGTTCCACGAAAATGAGCATTTCATGCTTAAACTCACTGAGCATCAGCAATATGTGGGTGAAGCGCTCGAAGAGGGCTCAAATTTGATCAATGAGTCGCAGAAAACGTCGGGCCTAACCACGGAGGACCAGAATGAAATACGTCAGCAAATGGTGCTTCTCAACGAACGCTGGGAGACTTTACGTCTGCAGGCACTTGATGTGCAGGCAAAGATATTGGCACGCCTGGCCGAGTTTCAGTCTCAACAGATTGAAAAATTACGTCTCTTCCTCACCAACATTGAAGACCGCATATCTCATATGACGGATATTGGACCGAGCTTGCCTGCAGTACAACAGCAGCTAACCGAGGGACGGCAACTTAAGGATGACCTTAGTAATCAGCAGGCGCTAGTCGACAGTTTGAGCAACATGGTTGTTATAATAAACGATGAATCGGGCAACTTCATAGATCTAGAGGATAAGTTGTCGGCTTTAGGTGAACGCTGGTCGCACGTGTCCAAATGGAGTGACCTGCGCATGGAGAAGCTATTGCAATACAAGTGCATCTACCGTTGGCTAGATACACGTGAGCAAGACTTAAAGACGATGGAGAGTAAAGACGTCACAGATCTGGGTGGCATTACGAAACGTATGAATGACCTTAACTACTGCGCCAAAGATCTGCTGGAGTTGGAACGTTACCTCATCGACTTAAGGCAAATGGTAGCAGCTTCACTGCAGGAGGGCGATGACCAGGGTGAGCGGGTGTTAATGCAGTTAGAGAGCTTCGAGGACCGACTAGACGCACTAAAGCAGATCGTGGAGGTACAAACAGATCGCATCGAAGCGAAAGGTTTCAAATTTGGACGTGATCGAGCATCGTATGACGACAGTCGTGTGGTGCGGCCTGATGGCTGGGTGGACTTCCAAATGTTAATTAAATTCGGCGACGACAGTGATGATTTGAACAAAGAAGAGAGAGTCGCAGAGCTGATGCAACAAACAGATGAAACCGTTTATCAAGTGGAATCACCAGAAGGTAATAAAAAACGCAAGCTACGCAGTTCCGATAACTTTTATCTACTTACCGGCCGCATAATGGAGGCCTTCAACTTCCTCGACGATTGCGAAGACCGCTTACAGAGTGTGCATCGGCAGAGCTTGCGCAATCAAAGTGAAATTTTAATTAATCTGGAGAAAGATGTCGCCAAGCGTGCGACACTCGTTAATGAGCTGAAAGAGCTCTATGAAGTATGCGAGAAGGAGGATGTGAAAAGAAATTTGATTATGGAGGCCACCCAGATCAAACAGATTGAAGAACGCTTTGCCGAACTTAAGAAGCGAATTATTGAACAGAAGTCCGAAACAGCGCAAATAATAGCCAAGGAAAAGTTCTACAACAGCCTCACTGGTTTCAAGTTGGTGCTTGCAGATTCGCGGGATTGGTACAAGCAACATTCGCTCTCTGCGAGTAAAGCTGATCTTGAGCAGCGCTTAAGTCACATGGATTCATTATCGGGCGAAATCGCCGATGCAAAAGAGATCACTGCAACTCTGGGCGAGGATCTGCAAGAGTGGCGGCAGGATTTTAAAATTTTCTACGAAAGTTGGAACGATATGAAGCGCGCCATCATAACGCTGATACAAGAGAAAGGTGGACTGGATGACGTTAATCAGCGACTACAACGCTTGGAAGACTTCATGGCGAAGGTAGCGAGTGTTAAAGTGATTGTTACAGATCTGCCACCAATGCAACAGCAGCAAAAGCAGCTGAATGAGCTAGTCGATGAATTAGAGAAGTTGAAAGCAGACTTTGATCACATCTGTGAGAGACGGCCAGATGCGGTGGGAACTGAATTCGCCGAGAACTGGGCCAAAATACCCGAACAACTGAGTGAGCGTGTCATCAAACAAACGACCGCAATTGAAAATCTCAACCATTTCAATGCCGAGTATAATGATATCTTGAATGTTTTGCGTAAGTTAGAGGCGAAATTCAAGCCAGACGACGCTGACAGCACAGAACAATCGCTACAAAACCAGCAATCGCCGATGGGTGACAGCAATCGATTAAATATGGAGCTTCGTAAAATCGAAATCGATGTGATAAGTGCGCGCAACTTTAGTGAAATACTCATCAAAGATGCAGAGTCGGCACATCGGGAGCACCTGCTGTCACAAATCAAAGAGCTCAACGAATACTTCACAAAAGTACAGGAGTTGCATAAAGGGCAGGCTTTGAAACGGACGCAAGTACTAGACAAAGCAGAGGAAATCTTGAAACGTCTAAGTGCCACCGAAGTGTGGCTGAGTGAGCTCGAACAGAATACGCCGAAAACACAAATCGCCGAGATCAATAACTCCAATGAACTCTTTCAAATAAAAAGCAAGTTTCAAACACTCAAAGAGACGTGCGAGCGCGAATCGGTGAGCTTTCGTGAATTGAATGAAGTCGGGGGCGAGCTGTTGCTACAAATCGATGAACTGAAGACAACCGGCGAGGAGGTAGAAAACAAGTACACGCAGTTGCCGAAGCGTTTTACACGTCTCAGTGCACGTTGGACCGAGGTAACATCGCTCGTGTATGCAAAGACTGCATTGCTGGAACACATCTCCACGCAATTGGGCGAGTTCAAGAAGTTCATGGTCTCCGAGTCTGGCTATTTGGATAGGCTGGAGAATAAAATAGGCAGCACGCCAGAGAATGCCGATGCTGAGGAAATAATAGAGGAATTAGATGTGACTATTAGCGTGTTCATAGGCAAACTCTTTCGTTAATTTTTGTTTCTCTTTTTAGGACCTCGAAAATGTATTGCGTGCACACTCCGACGAATGGCTGGAGAAAATTCAAGAAATCGGCAATGAGCTAATTGAACATGAGTTCATGGCGAATTCGATACGTGCGGAAATCGATGGGATTGTGGAACGCTGGACGCAGCTGCAACTGCGCGCCAAACAACGCACCGAGACGTTAGAGAAAGAAGTGAGCGAAGCCGAGCAGTCCGAAAAATGTATTGTACAATTTGAGGCGTGGCTAACACGTGTCGACGAGATACTAACCGAACATTTAGAGAATGATGTGACCATTGAGGATCTGCCGGAAGACTTCCAGGTAGTAGATTAACCAATAAAAGCAGCTCAGTTAGGTTAAAACTAAAATCGAATATTAAATTTTTACAGCGTTTAGTTAAAGAATTCGATTCCAAGCAGCATTGTTTCAAGGAAATCGAAGAACTCATCGCCGAACACACACGGAATGGCAAAATTGAGGCGGCAAATCGTTTGCAGGAGAAGCTAAACTTAACCGAGTTGCGTTTTAAGGCCTGCCAATTGAAGTTGAATAAATGTACGGCGCCACAGCCAGCCTACGAGCAGCGTTTGAATCGTGCTGTGGCAGAGCTGCGCGCTGTCGAACATTCCACGCTTGTGCTGGATGTGGCCTCGGCTGGTCCCAGCACCGTACAAGCGCAATACCAGAAATGTGTGGTGTGTATTTATGTTATAAACAAAAATTCAAAGCTTTTTGATTTCCTCTCATTAAATTTGTTTATTTTCATTTTTTCATCTCCACCAAACACCAGCAAATCTATCGCACTCTCTCAGAGATCAAACCGGAAATCGAAAGCACAATTAAAACAGGTCGCAAAGTGTGTGAAGACAAATTCACACGCTCACCGAAACAGCTGAGTCAACGCATCGACGCACTGAAGCATCTCTACAATGCGCTCGGCGAGAATGTTACGCAGTCAAAGATGTTTCTCGAAACCCTACTGAAGTTGGCACATCAATTGGATGAATGTTTCGATCATGCCGATCAGCTGATACGACGTTTCGAATCAACGCAAGAAATGCAAGATCGCAACTCCGGTTTCTTAGAGTTTGAGGATCTGCTACAGCGCTGTGATGAATTGTATGAGGAATACAACAAATCCTGCGATCAATCCTGCATGGAGGAAACACGTCAGAAGATTGACGAACTGAAAACGATCTACATGAAGTTGACCAGTGCAGATGTGATTAAGCGGCTGACGGAAATGAAGTCAACACTGCAGAATTTAGACAACATATCGCCGGAGACCTTGAAGTAATTGCAAAAGAGTCCTTAGATTTTCGCACTTTCTCACTTTCTCAATGTATTGTTGTTTTTCTTTCTCTCCTTCTTGCTTTCTTTTGCACAGAGGCATGGAGCATGAGCTAAAGCAAATTAATACGCCATCGAATCCGGATATTGAAAAATTGCAACAACAAGTAATCGCCATAGTGGTGGTGAGTAATTTGATCACATAAACTGTTGTAATCGGTCTGCTTCTTGATACTAATCAAATAATTTCTGGCGGATTCTATGGTACTGTTACTTTATAGTTATGTTCGTATGTATGTATAATATATAAAAACCCTCTATTCACCCTTTCGTTTTGAGTTATACTAAATGTATTTATGCTATGAAATCATTTGTGATTTAGTTATCGTTCTTTTATTTAGTTGCCTGCTTAAGTCTTTCTGTATTTGCACATTTCATTTCATTTCATCAGATATTGCGAAAACTACTCGCTTATAAATTCACTAAATCTCTATTCATTCTTTTATCTCATCCACTTTCGCATCGTACATGCTTATCCGCGTATCCTCGCTTCATTACGTTTACATACATACATATAAATATTATACATAAATACATAATATTGTACATTTTAGTTTATTCCTCATATCCACATACGAGATACTTCTACAATAACAGGAATTTTCAAATATTCTATTATACATATACATATGTATATATATATATGTGTATATTTAATTTTTCCCCTTGCTTATTTACTATCATTTCTACATCCGATTATAATATTTTCATTCATTCATACATACATTTCGATTGGGAGTTTAGATAACAATATCTCAGGTGTACAACTTTGCTTCCGCCGTTTTTTCTTCCAAAATTAAAAGCTTTGTTGCGAAAAAGTGCTTACAGATATATTATTCAAAGTATTATCTTCTCCCATCTTTCCGGCAATTTTCGGATCCCGGCTCGAAAACAGGAGTCCTCTTTTGACGCTATCCATGAAGCAATCCATTTTTCCAATTCTTCGAAGGATTGAAAATGTTGATCTGCCAGGCCGTGTGCCATCGAACGGAATAGGTGGAAGTCAGAAGGGGCGACATCTGGGGAATACGGCGGGGGGGGCAAGACTTCCCATTTCAGCGTTTCCAGGTACTGTTTGACCACTTTTGCGACGTGAGGCAGAGCATTGTCGTTGAAGGATAAATTCGTCACGTCGCTCTTTATATTGTGGCCGCTTTTCTTTTAGCGCGCGACTAAGGCGCATCAGTTGCGTTCGGTAGCGATCTCCTGTGATGCTTTCAGCCGGTTTTGAGAGCTCGTAGTAAATCACACCGAGTTGATCCCACCAAATACAAATAACCTTGTTTGTCTTCGACTTCGAAATTACCATTTTTAAAACGTTGAAACCACTCCCGACACGTTCTTTTCTTCATTTCTGAGCGCATTGGATGCGCTTCAGCTGCATTTTTTTTTTCGAATTTTGACAGAAAAGTAAAACTTCCCGCAAATGGCGAGAATTAGGCACATAAACGGACATTTTCGAGCGAAAACAAGAACAACTGTCACTGAAACGGCGATGACAATTCGTTAGGCACTGTCCACACTCACTTCAAAGGCAGTATCATCTAGGTATTTCAACCAGCCTCAGCCGGTACAGCCACCATTAGCAAAACGGCGGAAGCAAAGTTGTACACCTGATATTTTTTCTTTTCGAATAATTCCTGCATTTGTGGGAGCACGTAGATATGTATTTATATAAAAGTAAGCATTTAATGACCGTAAAATTTCCTAATATATATTTATATATATACATGGCACGCCATCTGTTGCAAAAGCATTTGAAGCTTAAATAACTTTTGTTAAAAATAATTTTATAATTTTAATTTTTTTTGCAAAACGTTTGCCTGTTGCCTTCTATTTTATTTACGTCATGTTTTTAATATAATAATATCCACCAAATGTCCGACTTTATTTTTGATCTAAAAAGATGCCCTTTTTCGTGCATTTGCTTTTCATTTGACGGCGTCGCGGTGGTAATAAGCAATATTTCCCAGCGAATATTGGCTTTCAGCTGAGCTATGTCGTTCTGTGGCTTGTCTTTGTAATCTTTGCACTTCAAATACACCCACAAAATGAAGTCCACCGCCGACAAATCGGGTTAGCGAAATCGCAGTTTTTCGATGTGAATTTCATGCGGAGTAGCGTCATTGAACTGCAGCTAGCATGTGCTCTAGCTCCATCCTCTTGGAATCAGAAGTGGGCTAATTCATGTAGAATTGCACTGTTGCACCCACCATTGATCGCAATGGCGTTGCCAGTTTCGTGCTCTCTCGAAAGAATTATCTTTTTGGCCGATACGTGGTACCAAACGGTCTCGTTTTGATCATGAAGAGGCTTCTTGAATATCTCGCAGAGGTTTCCATCGGCCCATAAGCGGCGCCATTCAATGTGAAATGAACTTCCACTCTCATGATGGTTTTGAACCACAACTTATCATCATCATGGAGCTCGTTGAATCAGAGTTAGCTGGTGCAAGGCTCTAAACGACGTGTCGAACAAGCCACTATATATGCCAATACTTCAAAATATGGTGGAGCTTTTTAGTTTTCCATACCATCTCAACAGATGGCGCCTTCTAACCATTGAAGCAATTTTCGGCCAAACTTTTTCAATTTGAGGTTTTGCGTCTTGATGTTTTTCCAACAAATGGCGGAACCTATAGTTTATACTAAGCCGCCTCAGAACGGCTGATGGTTTGCTTATGAGGAGCTTTATTTCATGTCAGAAATACACCCGACTACCGCGGACGCAATCTATAATAGCGCCATTCGGTTATTCCCTTCGCTGTTAGCTGCCAGTTAGAAATACCAAGTGAAACCAGGTTGCTCTTCAGCTGATATTTCCAACGAAGTGAAGGCCTTTCTCTCCTACCGCTTCCACCAGCGTTTACTGCATCAAAAACTTTCAAAGCTAGAGTCCTTTCACTCATTCGCAAAGCATAACTTAGCCAGCGTAGCCGCTGTCATTCCATTCGCTGAACTAGGTCAATATCATCTTTTTACTCGTACAGAGCTCATTGTTCCATCATCTGCGGTATTCGGCGTGTTGAAATAACCATAAATCGTTCGCAAAACTTTTTCTCGCAGACTTCCACGGTCGTCTCATTGGGTGTCATCCACGCTTAAGCACCTATCGTAAGTCGAATATGATGAGTGACTTGTTGATGTTATTTTTAGTTCGCCAAGAGAAGGGATTTTGCATTTCAATTGCCTACTCGGTTCAAAGGCTGGCATTATTATTGTTGTTAAGGCTGGACCCTAGATAGAGGAAGTTATCTACGACCTCTCGAAGTTATGACATGGGAGCCAAGCCGTCCGCAAAATAGCTGATTCATGTACATTGTCAGCTCTTCTCTGCCACGTTGGAATACCTCAGCTGATAGGCCATCGGCACCAGACGTTTTTTGTTCATTAAGCGGCCAATCGCTATTCGGACCTCATCATAGTCGGGTAAAGGAAGATCTTTTCCAGTAGCATGTATTAAGGTTTCGGGCACGCCATCTCCCAGTGTTGCATTTTTACAGGCATTCAGCAGGATGGAGAATTGTTTCCTCCATACACAGTAAGTTGCTCTGGACTTCGGTGATCAGATTTCCACATTGATTCCGACATTACTATGCTCCGGTCTTGAAACCCTCGGTTGGTCGCCGTATTTGTTTTATAAATATATAACGTAAATGCACAAGCTCAAAGGACACCTTTTATTACTAAAAATTTAATCTTTTTTCGAAATCTCATATTCTCCTCTGGTGATGGAAGATTTTTCATGAGTAAAATATTTAGATGGTGATTAAATTACGTGCTTGCATGACTTCATTGTTAAAATCCTGAATACTATAAATATATATTTTTTAAATGTAAGCTTACTTTAAATGTTGTTGGAATTGTTGCTGATACTTTATGAAAACTATTTTCAATACATTTTGAACTAAGAATCTTTCTTTTATATTTATGTAAAAAATTTGAAAAATATTTTCCAAAAAATTTTATTAATTTTATTTCTCGTTCCATATTTTTTATAAATGCATATACATACACATACATATATAATTTCCTTTTTATGTATATTTAAACGAGCACATACATACATACATACATACACATTCATATTTGTATTTACATAGTTAACACTGCAAAACCCATTAATTATCTATAACACCGTTAAAACAAAACTCATCAGTTTATCCCATTACTGCCAATTAACTATTGGAATAATCTCTAATCATTAAAAACGAACACCTCATCCTCAAAGCCAGTCACCGTATCACCAATTAGAGATGATGTGGAAACATTTGTTGGTGTCATTTTAGTGTAAAATATAATTGTATATTCACCTATAATAAGATTATAATAAAATTAATGTAGACTTAAATGTGTAATGGGAGATAATTGGGGCTGTAATTGTACACTGCTTTCGGCCATGGAAATTTAACGGCGCCTAAAATTCGTACTGTAAATGTGTCAAGCCAAATATTTGAATGTAAAAATTATTCTAAGATAATCATTTAATAATGTATATTTATAAAGAATTTTTTTTTTTTGCAAATTCAAAGCGTTTCACTTTGATTTTGGCAATAATTTTGATTTCTTAAGGATTTAACGAAGAAATTTTTGTCATTTAATCTGTAACTAGAGTTGGTAAAATATGACTAAATATGTCCGAGAAAAAAGTCTACAAAAGTGGAGACTTTTATTTTTAAGGTATTTTCAAAAACATCATTCATAAACATCATCCTCCATAAACAGAAATAACGCATATCAGCGTTGCATATGTCTAAGAAAAAGTCTACAAAAGTGGAGACTTTTGTTTTTAAAAAGTTTTCAAATATATACCAGTCGCTTAATAAGAAACAACACTTATCCGCGTTGAATATGTCTAAGAAAAAAGTCTACAAAATTGGAGACTTTCGTATTAAAAACGATTTCAAAAATATTCAAATCATTTAATCAGAAACAATGCAAATCAGCGTTGAATATGTCGAAGAGAAAGATCTATAAAATGGAGACTTTTATTTTTAAAACATTTCCAAATATATAACAGTCACTTAATATGTAACAACACTTAACCGCGTTGAATAAGTCTAAGAAAAATGTCTAAAAAAGTAGAGACTTTTGTTTTTAAAATTTTTTTTTTTAATATCCTAGCCTCATATCCTTGATCAATAACAATGCTTCAAAGCATTCAATTCAAAAATTTGGTTTTTTGTACAAAAGTCTACACATTCACAATATTTGGCAAAGATTGAAACATTTTTAATTTTTTTTTGTCTTGTTTACAAACACTATTTGCTATCCGCCATAGGACGCGCTGAAAACGCGTTGTAATGAAAATTCTGAGTTGGCTGCGCTTTTGCCCACACCTTCATCTGCGCCAGAAAACCCCAGCAATATCGAGAACTCTGATACTGATGTAGAAATTGTTGTTGTAAGCAACACTGTACGCCAACGTAGAGCGCGTACACCCGGCGCAAATGACTCTCAAAATGCTGGTGACTCACCAACAAAGTCCGAAAGGTCTACGCACTTGCAAACAACTGCGGAATCGCCGCCAGAAAATGAGACACCAGCAGGGCAAGCGATTGTCACACAAGTACTGCCCGATGTCTTGCCGCCGCAGACATTCCGTTTAGCGGAGTCAAGCACGCTTTTCTCACACATCTCAACAGCGACGCCCATTGAAACCACCGACAATCCACCCAGTAAACCGCCAAAGCGCAAAAGTCGCAAGGGCGAACAGCAACATGCTAAAGTGGTGGAGATACGCGAGCGAAATTTATCACACGACAAAATGTCCGTGCAAAATATCGAATTTGAGCCGCAAGTTGGTGAAATTGTCGACACTGTAAATGTTTTGGAGAGTGTGGAACCATTCGTGCCGGAGTATGTGGAGACCGTGCAAATCGTTGATCTCTCCGAAGATTCGGATACGTCGATACGTGTTGATGCAGATGGTCGGGAGATACAGCGTAGCAAGAGTAAACGCTCACTCACCGACTCGTCCAAAACACAAGCACCATTATCACCGCTCTCAGATGACGTTGAGATGCGCGGTGCTTTGCCGCTGAATACGAGCACACCGTTTCTGCGCGTGGAGAAGCAACGTATCTCGTTCGATGAGAAGCGTAAACGCATAGAGAGCGAGCGTGATATATTGCGTGACTCCGAGGAGGACGAAGACGAAGGGCCGGCAAAAGACAACGAGGCTTCGAGTGCGAAGAGTGCTCCAACTGCAAAACAGCCAAAACGTTGGCGCCAACTAACGCTCACACTTGACGATGAACTGTCACCCAAAAAGGTCAAGGCTCAGGAGGACACGTCAGAACGGGGCAAGCAAATGGATGTGCAGTGCTCATTGGATTCACCGTTGCGTAATAGTTTTTATAGCGCTGATAAAGAGGCAAGCTACGATTTGGAGCCTTTGGTTTTTTCGGATGACGAGGATATACCGAGATTTTCACTAGAAATGACACCAACATTTGACTCCGATAGTGATACGGTAAACATAAAAACTACATTCTACACTACCAAATAAAAGGCTTTAAAGATTGGCTTTCAGGAAAAGTTTACTTCAATATACTCTAAGTTCGATTTAATCTTCCAAAGTGCATAATTGAAATAAATATCTTCTGCTTGTCATTATATAGAGTCGTATTGAAACACCGGGTACTAAGAAACCGAACAACTTCGAAAGCAAAATTTTACCCAATTCTCCCTCTCTGGACGATTCCAACATCACCTTGAAGAGTCCGCACGCTGAAAGTCCGCTGAGTTTCCGCGACAATGCGCCCCTGGATCAGCGCGTGCAGACATTCGATAAAATGGCTAAGTACATGATACGCAAAATGGAGGCAACTAAAGAGAAGATCGAAAAGTGTGACGAGGGCGAGGTGTAAGTACTTTGAAATAAGTTTGAGTTTGCTTATTGAATTTTCATTAAAGCTTCACAGACCGGAGATATTTCTCTGTTTAAATAAATACATTATTTTTCTCTACACAGCGCCATTGAGGACTTGAAACTACTAATTGCACCCGATGCTGCCACATTGATATCACAAGGTGATTCCTTAGTGCTAGAAACCCACGGCAAGCAGGGGAATCTCTCGCGTTTAGTTATGAAAACACAAATAATACTGCGGGAAAAGTTTCGGGAAGTGCAGCAAGCCAAGTGAGTAAGAACATAAAAACTTTAGAGATAAATGATCGGATGTTTATTACAAACCGCAAAGTGGCTACTGTAATGCCCTAAATAGCCCCACGAATCCCATCTTCCAGGTCTTGAGCCGACGTTGGCTTATTGGCGTAGAACTTATCTTTCACTTGGCCTTAAAGAAAGAAGTCGTAAGGTGTTAAAGCACAAGATCTCGGTGGCCAGTTATGAACACCTCTTAGAGAGTTAGCACGATCCGGAAACTTTTCACTTAAAATAACAATAGTTTCGCTACTTGTAGGGCACCTAGCGCGGTCTTGTTGAAGGTCAATCTTGTTCTGATAAATACCAACCAATTTCGGCGATTAATAATCTCTCCATAGCAGTAACTATTGCTCCAGCCTCATTTCCAAAAGAAGTAAAGTCCAATGACCCCACCGGACAATAAGTCGCACCAAATGTTTACACGTTGAGAATGTAGAGGTTTTTCAACAATAAATCGTGGGTTTTCCGAATCCCAGATGCTTACTGACGTAGCCACCGAGTTTGGAATAGGTTCTATCACTCAAGATGATTTTTCAATGAAATTTCGCATAATTTTCAAACACATGAAGGACCCTAACAGCAAAGACACTGTTGATGATCCGCCGACTTGGTTGCTTGAGTAAACTAATTTGTATAAACCTCAAGACCCAAGTCTTAATGCAAAATACGGCAGAATGACACAACACTTTTGGTTACATCAGCATTATGCTTATTTTTTCTTCACTTCTCTAACTTGTCCCAACAGCTCCATTCTTTTCCATAAATTCTTGTATTGCGGTCCGACGAGGTGCTTCACGTCGACCGAAAATGTCTTAGTTTTACAAACTGTCTCAATGCCCTTGTTGAAGCACGAGTCGTTCCATTTTTATTACTTGCGTGGTATTTATTTGTAGAATTTCAAAAAATTGCAGCTTCAAAAGCGACATCTGCCGGAAAAAAACCTTATTGGAAAACTCTTTGTAAAAATGTTTTTTTTTATATGTAAAAAGGGTCATTATTTAATGAAAATATGTGTTAGACGAAGCTAAAAAAATGTTTTTTCATTATAATAAATAAATGAATAGTTCTTGCTAAAAGAAAATAATCTTTCCTCATTCTCAGATCCAAAGTGCCCGGCGCGCAGCAACCAGCTGAGGGCAACAAAACGCCCAGTCCACGCTCTACGCTGGAGAAGCTTAACATCGATTTAGAAGAGCTTGTTTCGAAGGGACTCAAGCGTATAAATGATCTCATCGAGAAGCCGTACGATAAAAAGTCAACCGATGCACTGGAGCGCCGTCTGGAGGAAATTAGCGTAAGTACAAGTTCATATACATTAAGCAGTGGCATTTAAACTGTTCAAAAGTTTAAAAATACTTTTAAAATCCATATGCATACATCATGCCAAATCTTTTGAAAGTCATTTATAATTTTTAATAGCACACTTGCTTTCTTCACGCGTGTTGCACACATTTCAAAATTGCAGTGCACGCATGCAGATACATACATACATACATACATACATACATGATATATGAACATATGTTATGGAAAACGTGTTGCCTTACAGTTCCGCATTCCAGTTGCATTGCGTATTCTTAGCTTCAACAGCGAAGCATTACTTGGGCGTAGGAAAGTTGCAAGGGCGTTTGAGAGAAAATTGTGGGAGTGTGGTAAAGTGAGAATTTTGATATTTCGAATATAGCATACAAAGTTTTTCAGTCTTTTTTGTTTTTGTTTTTGTTTTTTTTTCGGTTACACACCACTTGTTTATTTATTGCCGCACCACATACAAACAAATATATAATCGTAAATTTTTGAAAATGTAAATGAGCGCTCATATTGTTTATGATATTCCAGGCAACATTTGTGGGTTGTGGTCTTTCTTTTATGGCTGACCATCTGTCCTGGTAGCCACAACAGCCGCAACCAAAAGATGCTGTGTCGATTTATCCGTATTATTGGCTTGCAAATTAGGTCTCTCAAATCAATTTGGAATTAAAAAAAATTTTTTTTTATTTTTTTTAAAGTATGCCCACTTGCTTTTTTGTGAAGTTTGTAACCAATATTTGGACATGATCGTATTTTTTCATCTCTTTAGCCTCGTATTTCAATCCCTTCGGCGATTTCCACTCAATTGCTTATTTACTTTGATCAAGTTCGAGTAGCTAAAGCTAAGCTTTAGGACAGCAAAGAACCGACAAGGTGCGCGTATTAGCTCCTTTGCAGAATATGATCGAACGAAAGGACGCACGATGATCTAAACCTAAGTATGATTTTCCCAATCCACTAAAAAAGGGGCTCCACAGTCTGCGCCGCTTACCATGTGATAAACTTCCTCAATGTCGCATTTAAGGTCTTATCCAGCGTACTGGGTAAGGTAATAAAGCGAACCGTCAACAAATTCACTGAACCTGATGAGTATGACTTCTAGTGTGGATTGACCAGATTCGACAAATCTTTAAAAATTCCAATGAGAAAAGTATCGACACACTCTACGATTTGCCACTATGTTTGAACTTAGTTGCCACGCCAAGCTTATATGGCTGTGAAAAATATCATAATGATAGGTTAGGACCTCTCCGTACCGTTCGAGACCAAACGGGGTTTCAGATAAGGTGGCTGCTTGATGTGTGGCTTTTCTGATTTATTGCTGGAGAAAATAATACGAGCTGAAGGGCTGAATAGAGGAGGTACCGCTGCTGGCCTAAGCCGCTGATATTGATATCAGCATCAGCTTCTGCTTTCTCTAGACTGGATAAAGAAAAAACGTGTGACTTGGAGTGAACGAGGACAAGATGAAATATCTTCTGTAATCAAACAAACAGTCATAGCATTCGCGACTTGGCTCCCACACCACTGTTGACAGTCAAAACTTTGAAGTTGTAGATAAGTTTGTCTATCTAGGAACCAACATTAAGACCAATAATAACGTCAGCCTTGAATTCCAGCGCAGAATCACTCTTGCCATTAGGTGCTACTTCAAACTGTGTAGCCAAAAGTCAAATACTCTCCCGACGAACGAAAACCAAACTCTACAAGTCCCTAAATCTGATGACTCGGCGTTAGGAGTTTTCGAGAGAAATGATTTGCGTAAGATTTATGGTCCTTTGCGCATTGGCAACGGCGAATATCGCAGACGATGGAACGATGAGCTGTACGAGTTATACGACGACATTCGGGGAGCTGCAGGATAGGGATAGTCATAATCCAGGTAAACTCTGCGGTCTGTTATCGATTTCTCGGAAATTTCTTCTTCGATTGCCTAGCATAGCTTGCATCTATAGGCATCATTAATATCCTGAACTTCGTAGAATAAACCAAGTGGTTTGAGCTTTTTAACTAACTAATTTCAATATATTTAGCGGTTATATTGATCTCAAAAGTGTTTGGAAGTTTAATCGACTTTTAGTGTAGCTATGCGAATTTTATATTGAATTTTTGATAAAAAAAAAAAATAACAAATGAAAATGATTAAAAGCTAAACCCAAAGAATAAGTCCAAACAGTTTATTTGAAACGAGACAAGGTTTAATTAAACTCTACTTAGAGGGAGGTATTGGTACAATTTTTATTAGCTGACTTAACATTTAATAACGTAAAATGAAAATTATAAAACAAAAATTATAAAATTTTGATTTTAACCCATAAACTATCAGGTGTACAACTTTGCTTCCGCCGTTTTCCGATAGGTGGCTGTACCGGCTGAGGCTGGTTGAAATACATAGAAGATAATGCCTTTAAGGTGAGTGTGGACAGTGCCTAACGAATTGTCATCGCCGTTTCAGTGACAGTTGTTCTTGATTTCGGATTATTCACACTGGAAAATGTCCGTTTATGTGCCTAATTCTCGCATCGAATGCTCTCAGAAACTTACGGTGATGCTGCTCTGAGTGAAAGAACGTGTCGGGAGTGGTTTCAACGAATATTCATGGCGCCAAGGGTGAAACCATCACAGCAGATCGCTACCGAACGCAACTGATGTGCCTTAGTCGAGCGCTAAAAGAAAAGCGGCCACAATATCAAGAGCGACGTGACAAATTTATCAAAAAGTACCTGGAAACGTTGAAATGGGAAGTCTTGCCCCACCCCGCCGTATTCCCCTGATGTCGCCTCTTCTGACTTCCACCTATTCCGTTCGATGGCACACGGCCTGGCAGATCAACATTTTCAATCCTTCAAAGAATTGGAAAAATGGATTGCTTCATGGATAGCGTCAAAAGAGGACTCCTTTTTTCGAGCCGGGATCCGAAAATTGCCGGAAAGATGGGAGAAAGTTGTCGCTAGCGAAGGACAATACTTTGAATAATATATCTGTAAGCACTTTTTAGCAATAAAGCTTTTAATTTTGGAAGAAAAAACGGCGGAGGCAAAGTTGTTCACCTGATATATTTTTTCTATTTCCCTGCAATATTGCGCCTAAACAACCCACTGTAAATTTTTTTATAATATTTTCCTATTGCACGTGAAAAATCTTCCGTGAGTGAAAGAACATTGCCTGTCTAGCATAATTTGCGCAACACATCTGTTTTAGCTCTCTTCCCTATTACACTTTTCCCCCTCTCTGTCTCAAAGAAGAAAAAAAAACGTTGATTAGGAATTCAGATTTAGTGCCAAAATGCGTGCCTTCCGATACTATTTGAGCATAACGACAGCGGGGGTGTACTAAAAAGCGAAGTATGAATGAGCAGCAACGTGCGCTGGCAACATTTAGTGTATAGGTACAGTACAGTTATTTTGATGAATTGCCAAACATTAATCAGATAAATGCAAATAGGCGCGAAATTAAATGTTATTTTTAACATTCTTTTCTGAACAAAAAAAATAAAAAATAAGAATAAATAAATCAATAAAATTAAAAGTTGAGATTTGCCTCAAGAGGTCATTAAACCATAGAGAACTAATTATGGGCTAAAAACGACTACTAGGCTTTTGGAATTTCGGTTAATTCAAAGATACAGACATACATATTTGATTATGGATAAGTATTCCAAGCTTCAAACTTTTGTGTTAGAAATAAGAAAAAAACAGAACCAATTTTTTACTTTGAAAAAGTATCCTTCGTTTAAAAGTGTTTTTAATTATTCGTTATTTTCAAAAATTTTAGAAATATTTACTGAATAAGGGATTACTGTGAAGTAGAACACGCTTTGGATCGCCCTTGATATAGAGGCGGCTTTTGACAATATTTTTTTTTTTTTTTTTTAATTTTAAATAGCAGAATGGAGCGCGAACTGACAGTAGCGAAGCTTATGAAGCCTCTGAGATGAACAGCGCCAGTAAAGCCACCTTAAGCAAAAGTTATATCATTTTCCCTAACAGCGACAGGAAAACACTTCCGAATTCTAAGTAATCTACTTCAAAACAGCTTATATTTTGCAATAAATTACGCAAGGACAATAGACTGGCAGTCGAACCAATATAAACCGAAATGATCATTTTTACGTTCAATTAAACCAGAAGGGTTGGGCATGGATATATTTCCCTCTGGCGACTTTGAATAACTGGGAATAAACTTAATTGGAAAACTCGGCGAGAGCCGTAACATGTCAGAAAGGTGGATGAACGACTATTGGATATACTCGTATACAGCAATGGTAAGACCAATATGTCGTCACCGCTTTTCAAAAAAATACTATCAATGGTATACTAGAGAGAGTTCAGCGATCCGCACTTGTCCTCATAATATTGTAGGTGCTCTATCATAACTCTCTCTAAAACAAAGAAGACTCCATTCGGCCCTTTAGATTTGTACGGGAAATTACTAGTAAGTTGCTTGAATGTAACTACACCCTTGAAAAAGTCACGGTATTGTTTTTTCTCTCACACAGTTCGGGAAGAAACTGGATTACACAATTTTCATTATCTCTGTTTTCATCAAAAATTATCGTCAGAAACGATTCAGAAAACACAAACGTCCTAGTTTAGCGAGCACTAACCTCAATAATAAAGAGGGCTACGGAAATAATTTACAGATGTTTCTAAGTAGAATTATTGCGAACGAGAAATCCATCCAATGACAGCTCAAACCTTCGGATACCAGAAATCTGAAAACAGTAAATACTTAATCGTAGAACCAAGATTCCAATAGATTTCTCTACTTGAACAATCCCACATTAAATTTACGATTAAATGAAGAATCACTCTAAACAAGTTTCCAAGAAAATACAACACAGGCGTGATTTGAATGCTCCAAAAGAGGTACAACAGTGAGAGGAGGAACTCATCTAATCGCAATAAGCCATACACACGATGTAGGTGTAATCAGATAGCTGAATAAAATCAGGTGCAAAGTGACCAGTCAAGTAGACCAGCAATGGACTCAATCCTCATAACGAGTGATCCAAGTTGAGGCATTTTTTTCAATAGCATTTTCTTTGACAGATCACTCGGGGGTCGAGTCAAGTCAAGCTGGCATTCTATTTTTTTCGGTATTGTTTGGCATTTCATTACGGAATTAACGTTTACAAAGTTTATGACGAAAGTTCCCTTTCTGTAAAAAATGTGTCTCGCGCGCTTTGCTGAACTTACAATGAACACAATCGGCCTACTGAGGGCACTGTTCGCAATGCCATGACCCATCTTAAGACCAAGCATTCATTACTCGATAATATGAAGAAAATATAGCTGCCATAGCTCAGAGTTTACACGAAGTCTGTGGAGAACCGATTTGGCGGCGTTCGCACCAACTCGGATTGACGTATGGAACGACTTAGCACATTTTAAGTAGAGATCTTAAATTAAGAGCGTACAAAATGCAGCTTGTGTAAGAACTGAAGCCGAGACCGCTTCGCTCTATGGTCTCTTGAAAGGTATCAAGAAGATCCGACGTTTTCGAGCCAAAATTTGTTCTGTGATAAAGACCATTTCTGGCTTAATTGGTATGTAAACAAGCAAAACTGTTGCATTTGGAACGAAGAACAACCTGAATGGATTCAAGAACTGTTATTTCATACAGGTAAAGCTAGGCTTGCGGGCCAGTTGAATCATCGGTCAAAATATTTCTTCAAAAATGATGCCGGTGAGTCTATAACGTACCATGATAACCGACTATTTGATGACTGAAATTGAAGCCCGTGATCACGGTGATATTTGGTTTCAAAAAGTCTTCCCACTTCATTTCCACTTCGATTCAGGCCTTGGAGCAAAAGATTCTGCGTGTCACTCACCAGTTAACAGTTCAAATGCTCGAACGAGTCTGATAAAATTGGACTAATTTGATGGACTATCTGAGGCATAGCTGCGATCAACATTTGAAAGAGATATTTTTCCAAAAAATAATTACCAAAGAATGTTCTTTCGAATAATAATAAACGTTGTTTACAAAGTTTGTATTTTCTGTGTTTTTTTCAATGTAGAGTAGCTCGAAATGAGTCATCCTTTAGTGGGATTTCCCATTAGTATAATGACAGAAAATAATGGGCTGCTTTTGGGTCGAAGAAGAGAGAAAGTCTGCTAAAAACTATACCAAATCTTGTTAAATTTGCTTCAGCAATTTCGCAAATTTCGCTAGACACCCCCTTGGCCCGCACATTTGAGAAAGTGACAGTGACCTAAGACCTTAGGGGCAGCCGCATCAACTCAATTCATTACCATACATTTTATATCTCTATAAATGTCAACTAGAATTCTTCGGTATAATTATGTCATAAAGAAAACAATTAAATGTTTCTGAAATTTAATAATATAATTGTAGTTGGACATCTATGGGAAATTAAATTTTTTTCTCAATTTTTTATATTCTTAAATTCATTTTTGCATATGAGTTTTATTATGGCCATTTTATCTCACACTGCTTATGAACCTCTTTTAATGTCATGTTGCCAAAGAAAATAAAATAAAAAATAAAAAAAAAGATTTTCATTAAGCCACACTAAGCATTCGGTCGTGCGCCAGTTGACGGTGGACAAGCAGCCGGCTGGCCGAGAAAGTGCCTGAGTGGCTGAGTGGCGGGTGGGTGTGTTAAAAATAGCGACAGAAGGCGCGGGCTTGTGCGACAAACGAAATGTGGCTAATTATAATTAGAATATGTATAAATATATTTAATGTGAGAAAAATAAGATAAAGTGAAATTTGGAGCACAGCGAGTGTTTTTTTAAATGACATTTTCTTTGATTTTTATTATTTATTTATTTTGGTTTGTTTATTGATTTCCCAGCGGTTATCGCTTATTTAGCTGTTTTGCTACTTCTTTGCTTTCAAACAAAAATTAAGCATTATTGAGAAAATGAAAATGTTTATAGTGGAAAACCGACGAAAATATTTACGCTCAAAAGCCGATTCCTGTGCGAGTGCTCGTGCGGATGTTGCTCTGCCGCTCAATTATTGGTGTGATCAGTGAGCACGATGAATTGTGTTTTTTAAGTCAAAATCACTCAGTGCGTCGTGACGATTACGTTAGAAAGCATATATTTCGTTTTGAAAACGGTAATTTTCAATATTACGAAAACGAAAGTGCGGCGTCCTGTTTTAAAAAAGTTGTTGCATCACTGTATTTTAGTGTTGTGTGTAAACAAAATCCACATTCAGTTTTGAAACACATATTTAATGTTCTGAGTGAAAGCTAAGCTAAGTGTTTAAATACTTAGTAGTAAAATAAATAATACTTTACAAAAATTCGAAGCAAAATTCGAAACGATGTGAAATGGAATAATGAAAAAAAATATATTTTACTTTATTTTGTCAATTAAAAACAAAATATTGACAAGAAAAAATATTAATAATGAAAATCTAAACAAAAGCTTTTAGAGAAAAGTTCAAAATATGTTTAATGAAATGCTGTTCGAATTTACAAATTAATTATTTTTATAAAAAAAAATCAATATGTATACGAAATACTTGTGCTTTCTTCATTAAAAATTGTTGATTTTGTCAAAAAATTTCAAGGATAATTTCCAACTTTTCCTTTAACTCAAAATTTATGCAACAGTTTTGAATTTCATCGGCGTAAAAATGCAATTCTGCTGGTTGTCACAAATTGTCAGTTGAGACTAAACGCGTAAAATCATTTCACGTACACGAAATCACGTTCAGTGCATGCAAAGAAACAAACGTTCATATTTTCTTTTGTTTTTAAAATTTTTTTTTTTAAAACATATTAACTTGAAACGTGGTAATAGAAGAAAAGCAATGTAAAAAATTTTCAAGAAAAATACACAATCGGAATTTGTTTATATTGACAATGGATTTACTTTCAGAACATGCAACTTTTCTCAATTTTTTTTTAAGTTGACCTTAAAACAGTTTTTAAACATTTCCCATAAATGTTTTATTCTCAAATATATTCTGCGAAAAAGTGTAGTAACTTTTATCGTTAAACTAATACTTAAAAATTATTGAAAAATTATTACTATTTTTTTTTTTTAATTTAGTTTTGCTCGTTTAATTTTTTCATAAAATACCCCCATAAACATGCGAACACATACTTGAACTTACTTTGTAGTAATAAAAAATAAAAATAAAATTCTTAACTTCATATAGGATCGTCGTGACGATTTAAAATTGATTGTAAATAAAATTGGAAAAAGTGAGGAGAGACCGAAGGTCACGGCCACTATGATGAATGATATCGAAATGGTGAGTGTACATTTACAATAGGCTAAATGTTTTTTATTTATTGAATCATTTAAAATATTCACAATTGTTTTAATAATATATTATATTGTATATATTATATATATATATTAAATTTTATCATACTGATTTAAGCCTCTATTTCAATTTAGTACACCGCATCAAATCAATATTTTATCGTTTTACAATACTTTTATCATACCGTATCACAGCACAACACATCGCATCACACCACATTAACTCACATCATATCATGTAATGCCAATTAAATCATATCATATCGTGATATGATATCATCTACATAATTACTTTAAATCAATGCTTATATTCAACACATTATCTTATAACATTCACATTTTAATGTTTTAATCATATGAAACCAATATCACAAACATAACGTATTTAAAAACTAATTATAAATCGCACTATATACATTGGCGTTATATCATACCTGATATCAGATTGTATTCTTATTTAGATTAAATTATTAGTATAATGTATCTATATATCACATCACACGATATTATGCCACCAACTAAAATCACATCATATTTCAATTTTTAATAAATTTAAATTGTACTGTATATTATCATGACATGACATCACGTTACATCATGTGATGCCAATAAAATCATGTCGTGTTATGATATCATCTTATTACTTAAAATCAATTCTTTATATCTCATATCAGATTTTAGTATTATATAAAATAAACAATTATATAAAAAAACAATTATGTTGAAGTATAATCAGCGTAAATCACATGATGTTATGCTACATTAATCAAATTTTATCGCATGATACGAAATCACATCATATATCGTATTAATTAAATAATTGTATATTGCTCTATACATTATTATGGCTTATCGCATCACATAATATGTTGCTAAATGAAATCACATGGTGCTATGATATATAATTAAATCAAATCAATATTATATGTTTTATATTTTATTATAATTTATATTTAATTAATGAAAATATAATGTGCATTTGAAATGTAGAGCATATTGTGTCACGTCAATCACATTATATCGTACGAAACCTAAATCACATCATATTTCATATTAAACTATAAATCGCACTATATATAATCATGTCAGAACATCACATCATACAATTAGATACCACATCAAATGATATCGTGTTGTTATAACATATCAATACTTCAAATCAGTGCTTTATATATATTTCATATCAGATTATATTATCATTTAAATTAAATCATTAGGTAATGTATCTATATATCATATAACATGATATTATGTCGCGTCAATCACAATTTATGGCATGAAACCGAAATCAAATTATATTTCGTATTCATTAAATAAATATAAATCTCACTATATGTTATCATGACATAACATCACATCATATGAAGCCATATCAAATCGTGTCGTGATATGACATCATGTAATTACTTAAAATCAATGCATATTTTCATATCACATCATATTATGTCACATTTTAAAATTTTATCGTATGAAACAAATAGCAAATCATATTTCGTATTAAATAAATAATAAAATATAAATTGCACTATATGAAACAACATCACATCATATTATATTGTGTCACTAAAAATTAAATCATATTGTCTTATAGCTATATCCATTTCATATCATATATTGTAATCATCTAATATAGCATATTATTAAATAATTTTTTATTCGTTTTTATCAATTTATTTTTATTTTTATTTCAGTCCAAAAACAATTTACAATCACACGCCGATGCTGTAGAACTTTCACTTACCAAATTAAAGCAGATTAATAAATTGTCAACACGGAATGGCGAGGAAAATGGTAAATTATTTTTAATTACAATTCAAAATTCTTTACTACTATTTATTTGTATACGTTTAAAAAAAATCAAAAAAGAGAGCGGTTAAAGCATTTTCAAGCTGAGAAACTATTTTTTTTTTTGCAATGTAATCAATTCGACACTAAGGCAGGCCTCTACCATTTACAGATTGCTATAAACATGTACACATATTTATGCATGTGTTTATACAACTATCAAGCGGACGCTGAAACTAAACACATAAAATAGTTTGACATTTATATCCGCTCATCGTGTAAGCGTTTTTTGTATATTTTGTGTGAAATAAAATTGAAATTTTTAAACAAAATCCACTCAAGAGCATAAACACATACGAGTAAGTGTGTGGTGTATATATATGTGAATGTTTGTACATATATACATAAATATATATAAAATGGATGTGTGCATACTACATACAACTTCTGTGCATAAAACAACTAAATATTATAAACAAATCTACTTATGTCGAAGACAATTCGCAAATGCGCACTGATGGGTTACACCTGTTGATAAATATAAACCGAAAATTGCTTTAAATATAAGAATTTTAACAAATCAAGACCCAAGAACGTAGATTAAGAGAGACACTTCTTCTGTTGAGCGCGCTTAATGACTTATCATCATTTGAGTATTCTAATTGATGGCAAAGCAGATAAGAAAGAAGTAGCAAGGACACCACTCAGTTCCTGGCATTTCGCTTTAATGCTCTGCGTGGAAATCCACGGCAAGGAAAGTTTAAGGATTTTTCAGAAAGCGATTTCTGCTAAGCACCTTTAAAGCTTTTAACCTTCTGCAAAGAGCTTTCTTCCTTGGGTTTTTGTCTGCAACACTTTTAGAATGCATAAAAAGCTTCACTTAACATAACGGTTGTGAGAAATGTTGTGGCCATTGGCAGCATTGTTTGCTTGTTGTTAATATATATAGCTATGCGCATGTATGTCGGAATGTAACCACGTCTTATTGATGAATGTTCCTGATAATATCCTGTTCACCTGTGTTTGATAGCAGGGAAACGTGCCGAACAGCTGCTTTGTATCTTTGTATTTTTGCCATTTGCATATACACATGCAAGTCTTGTAAGTGTTAATATGTAAGCAAAAGTATGTGTATACATAATAATTGTGTGCATATGTTTGTAAATATAAGTCTGGCATATGCCTTTTAGGCGCTGAAAGTGCGCTTTTCACTTCATATAGCCGCATTCAAACTTAAAACGTGCAACCGAACGGAAACGAAAAGATTAACGGTGCGCCTGAAAGCATTACATTTGTCGGGCACGCGTTTCAAAGCAGGATTGGTGGAACGTCAATGTGGTTTTTGATCGTTTGCACTTTACGGAAAGTTCTGTTTATCATTTACTGGTTGCGCGATAGCGAATTTTAACTATCTTTTCCTACTTACATATTTGTGAATATTCTGTGCAAACATAAAGGATTAGTATTTTGAGTGATAAAAAAGTTAAATGAAAATATTCAATTAAATGCACTGAAGTAAAATTAAACAAAATGAAATAAAATGAAATAACAAAACTAAAATCAATTGAAATCTAAAAAAATAAAATAAAATAAAGTGTAAAAATAATATTAATTTAAAAACAAGTGAAAAAAATTAAGAAATAAATTAATATAAATAAAATAATGTAAAGTAAAACAACATAAAATAAATAGAAAAAATTAAATAACATATATTAAAACAACATTAATAAAATAAAATCAAATAAATCATTTAATTAAATTAAAATAAAACTAATTTAAATAAAATAAAAAAGTAAACAAAAATAAAGCAAAATAAAATAAAGCAAAATGAAATAAAATATATTAAAATAAAATAATTTAAGCAAAAAAATATTAAAATGAAATATAATGAGATAACGCAAAATAAAATAAAATGAAATGAAATAAATTTAATAACATAATAAACAAAAAATTGTAAAAATAAAATAATTTTAAGTGAAATAAAATAAAATTAAATTAAAGTAAAATAGAGCAAGCAAAGTAAAGTAAAATAAAGAAATTTTAATATAAACAAAGCTACAATAAATATAAATAATAAAATAATTGGTGTGATACAAAATAAAATAAATTAAATAAAAAACAAAAAGAAAATGAAACAATATGAAATAAAATAAAATAAAATAAAATAAAAAAAATAAAATAAAATAAAATAAAATAAAATAAAATAAAATAAAATAAAATAAAATAAAATAAAATAAAATAAAATAAAATAAAATAAAATAAAGTGAATAAAAATTAAATTAAGTTAAGTTATATTAAACTGAGTTAAATTAGATGGAATGAAATAAAAAAATAAAATAAAATGAATTGAAATGAATTGAAATAAGATGAAATAAAATAAAGAATAAAAAAGATTAAAAAACAATAAGTGAAACAAAATAAAATGTAAGCAAAACACATTGCTGACTATGTGTGTGATAAGGATTTTGTAATTTAGTTCCAATGAGCACTTACTAGCCGAGATAAAATAATTTGTTTTGACTAGCTTGGTAAAGCCTTTTAACTAAATTAAAAGTGATAAAAAGTGAAATTCGATAACAATAATTCATCTTATCATAAAAGTGGCATATACCGTTACCTAAGCTGTTGTCAAGCCCAAAGGTGCAATACGCACAAGTTTCACTTATTTCATGTCACGGCATATTAATATCACTTATATGCGAGACACTAATTTACAGTGACGGCGAGTGTCAAACATGTGCTGCTGGGAAACGTACAAGCAAGCGGTAAACAAAACAAAAAATATAAAATAAAATTGTATTTGCTTGAAGAGAAACTAATTTTTCGGCACACCCATTTGTGGCACCCATCAAAAGCAATCAGTATTATATAAGTCACCAAAATAATCGCAAGCAGATACATACGACGGCATTTGGCGCCAAAAGCAACTCGTGAGTATAAAAGAAAAGAGTTTCTGCTAACATGGCGNAAAAAAAAAAAAAAAAAAAAAAACGATTTGGAAGAACAAAAATAAATTAATACAAAAGTTAACGAAAGCAGACAACAAATCTATAAAATTCTCATTCTCTAAACTACAAAATCAAAACGTCAAACTAAACATGGGACAACAGTCATTCAACTTCTACGTGTCTACTCTACAGCGATTCTGCCGCCCTTCCCTCAAACAGCTCTAATATAATATATTGTAGAGCCCACCATGTCTTGGTCTGCCCATTAGTTTCAAATGCCCAACTGGCGGCGCTGTTGTATGGTTGTTTTCATGTTAAACACCTGCCACAGCTGATGAATCTTTCCGCCTTTGCTGCTGCTGCTGCTGCTGCTGCCTATGATGATGATGATGTAGAGATTCTATACTGTCTTGCTGCCTCCTTGTCTTGCCGCTTCAAAGTCAACGTCCTGGCTCGCGCTTTCTGTTGTGCTCTCAAGTGCGGCTCAACACTTTGCTATCTGTGTTTAGTGTTTTCATGTTGTTGTTTTTGTTGTTGTTGTTGTTGTTATTTATATAGCTCCTGGTATTTTTCTTTTTGTTGTTGTGGTTGTCGATGTTACTGTTTAATGCACTGTTACCTGTTCTTGTATGCTTTTCCCATGTCAACTGTCATTTTGAGTTAAATTTTGATTGTTTGTTTTGTTGTTGTTATTATTGCATTTTATTTTTATCGTTACGCTTGTTAAGTATTTGAATACAATCTTTTGTGTTGTAGTTGCTTTTACATATTTACTTATTTTTATACCAGCGCACATGTGCATTTGGGCAGACACTTTGGCACGACCGACCGGCTAACGATAGGTTAGAAATGAAAGGACAAATAAAGAGTGATCCATTTCGAGGATTCCTGCTTAATTAAAAAATACAGAAAATTCAAATAAATGGGGAACGTTTATTATCATTCGAAAGAACATTCTTTGGCATTTATCTCAGATGGTCAATTCGCTGAATCCAATTTTCGATGACTCATTCGAACATTTGGACTGGTAGCCTCTGAGAAAAAAGCCTAACAATGTGATGTCATACGATCTTGGCGACAGTCGACCCACCCGAAACGTAAAATTATCTCCTCACCGAAGTGTTCTCTGAATAGATCCATTGATGGATGCCTTCTAGTTGAAACCAAATGTCGCCGAGCTCAGGAGCTTAAATTTCAGTTTTTCAAATGGTCGGTTATCATGGTGTGATAACGGTCACAATTGACGATTACATTCTCCTTCTTTTTGAAGAAATATTTACCGGCACACAAACTACACGAAACCATTTTTCGGATAAAATTACAGCTCTTGAATCTCTTGAGGTTGTTCTCCTCTCAAATGCGGCAAGTTTGTTTATTTACATACCCATTGAGCCAGAAATTGGCCTCATCACTAAACACAATTTGTCTCAAAAACGTTGGATCTTCTTGGAACTTTTCAAGAGACCATAGAGCGCAGCACTTGTCGCTTGAGAAGATCTAACGGCTTCTGTTCATGCGCAAGCTGTATTTTATACGCTCTATATATAAGATCACGACGTTAAATGCTCCAAGTCGTTCCCTACGTGGGTCCGAGTTGCTGCGAACGGCGCCGAATCGACTCTCCACGGTCTTCGTGTACAGCTACGGCCCTTAACTTCGTGCTGGACGTGGTCTCTTCGCTCGAGTATTATTCAATAATGAATGCTGGGTCTCAAGATGGGTGTTGGTGTTGCAAATATTATGCCCAGTAGGCCGATTATGTTGATCATAAGTTAAGCGAACCGCGCGAAGCACATTCATTGCAGAAAGTGAATATTTGTAATAAACGTAATAAACGTTGTTTGCGTAATGAAATGCCAAACAATAATGAACAAAAAAAAAAAAAACAACATGACAGCTTGTGATTTGTCAAGAAAATGCTCTTGAAAAAAGTACCTATTCTTGGATTACCCATTATGTAAGCAAGCATAAAATTTTGAAAAATTTTTTTTTTCTAAATTTTATTATTATATTTGACTCTATTGTTTTTGGGTTATTGAAAAAAAAAAACATTATTTC